TTATTATTCTGTTTCTATTTCTAGTTCCACCTTTTATAAACAATATAATCTTAGGTGAGTTGTTTAAACTCTCTGTTGTCTTCATTTCTTCATCTATAAGATAGGTATAATAATTTCCACTGCCATATCTCAAATAAAATATAAGAAAGTACACAAAATAATAAATGGCTAAATATAAAGTATCATAGTATTATTTTTCACATTTTCTCTTAGTATTTGAGAGAAACCTTTTGATTTCAATGAATTTGTTACTATAGCCATCTTTTTTATTTTAAATAACTTTTAAATCAATATATTATTTTAGTGACACTGTTTTCCCACTTCTTTTACTTCAAGGTAAATGGCCCTTAATTTATCATAAAATGGCGTACTTATAGCATTTATGCAAGTGACTTCTGCCTGTATGTGCAAGAGGATGACATGCTAGAATGAAGAGCTTCCTACTCCACTGATTTCAGGAAACAACAAGTGGTGATGGTAAAAGGACAAAAGGATGGTAACAACTCAGCACTGATTCTGCTAGAGTATCATTTTGCCTTGTCTTTCTAGTCTAAAATAATATTAACCTTTCTTTGCTATACGGTATGCTTTTTACAACATCAGAAGCAAAACATGAAAGCAGATATAAATGCTGGATACTTCTCAGTTTCTTCTAGGTGTGGTCAAACTCTGCTTATGTGATTTAGTTTGCCAACTTGTAAAGTTAAAATTACCATGTGGAGTCCTAAAACGTTAGAAGCAACATAGTCTAGGCCAGCTTGAGATAGGTTAACTGAAAGAGCGAGCACGGAGATGGTCCAAATGTTGACGATCCATTTGAACGATAATTTTATAAAATGTGTTTGCATCAAGAGTCTAACATTTTTGATGGTTGCTTAATTGCAGTACTGCAGTAAGGGTGACCGTTTCAAATCTTGCATGCTGATACTAAAGAGAACACATGTATGTACACATGCATAGGCATAAACCTGTAATGTTGATTATTTGAGGCTAAACAAGACTCTCAAGTAGAACTTAAACAATCAAAGAATAATTTTCCCATGGACTGGAGTCACTGATATCATATTAAGCTATTAAATAAAGTGAAATCTATTATTCAAAGTAAAATTTATAATCACCAGAATAACTGAAATTAAATAGCTGACAATAATTGCCCCCAAGAGGTAAACCTAGGGGTTATGAGAAGGAAGACTTTTTTTTTTTTTAATCTCACCATGTGCTTGTACTGCTTTTATAATTTAAAAAACTAAAACAAAAATTAAAAAGAATATGATTAGACTGACATGTAAAACCAAAAACCAAACCCACTGCCATCAAGTCAATTCCGACTCATAGCAACCCTATAGGACAGAACAGAACTGCCCCATAGGGTTTCCAAGGCTATAAATCTTTACAGAAGCAGACTGCCACATCTTTCTCCCACAGAGTGTTTGGTAGGTTCGAACTTAGGATCTTTTGGCTAGCAGCTGAGCCCTGTAACCACTGTGCCACCAGGGTTCTTTTAGAGTCAGGTAAACTCTTACAAATCATCTATTTGAGTGATTTTCTTTGTTTTGCTTTTTTTTCCCTTTAAACCAAAATTTTTCTCAAAGGAAAGCACAGGCAACACTCCATAGAAAAGCAGGCCAAGGTTAAGGTTGCTCTGTTAGAAACAGCAGCAAGAGCCCAGAGAGCTGCCCACTCTAGTGCACCATTCATTGCCACACCTGGCTGTTCCCATGGCAGTGCAACAGCATCCCAGGCTGAGGTGCACATTTGAAGACTCCTGAATTAGTCTAATAACCCCATCATTTAGAATAATGCCAAGGACAGATTGCAAGTAAGTGGCAAAGACAAGTAATGATTTAGCCCGATTCCAGTGCTCCAGGGAGAATAATTAGACTTCATCTCATGTTTCTAATAGTGTTCATGGAATTAACATGTGAAAACACAGAAAAAGAATGCACAGTCCCAATTCTCCAAATTATATTCCAAAATAATAAATGGATATGGTAGTATAGAACTCAACTTTCTTGCTTTTGCACATAGCTTTAAAAAATGAGTTTTATTTAAAATAAGATGAAATAAAATTGAAGAAACAGAAAAACAAATAAATTATAAAAACAAATGGAGACTGTAACGTCCATTACCTATTTTTAGAAGATATGGTAAGGAAAGTATATCTTTTAACTCCGATTTCTATATAAGGATAAAGCAACGGATCGTTTGCATACAGCTACTGAAAATGATTTGATGGTGACGGGAAAGTAAAATAAGAATTTTCACATGGTGATAGTGGTTAGATAAGCCAAAATTACCTATAACATTTAAATAAGAAAAAAATGTATCTGAGTAGCATTCTTGAATTGGCTGAAATCAAACAAATACGCTATTAGTAAAAAAAAAAAAAAAAAAAAATCTCCTGTAAAAATTACCATCAAAGGGCCAAGACATTTTCAGTATGGACATGTTGCTTAATCTAGCAAAAAGTGCCATAAGAACTTTAATGATAAATAAAATT